CGCAGGGTGGCTGGCTTCAGGGCAGAGACGGGGCTTCTGGTGGGGGATGTTCGGGACTGAACACCCGAGGGAAGCCCGCCCGGAGCGGGGACGGGGGGCTCGCGTCCAGAGGACCTGCTCCTACGCTGGCCCAGATCTCCCTTCGGTCTGAAGCTGTCCCTGTCCCCGTCCGCTCTGCTCCATCCGTGTGGACCTGCTCCCTCTCCCTCCACAGAAAAACGGTAGAATAAAGACCCTCCCTGGATTTGAGGTGTACAAAGGGACAGCAATCCCGGAATATTATCACGTATATTAATGCCGTGCCTGTCATCTCTGCCGGGAACCCCGTGCCCCCACTTCATTCATAGCTGCACAGCAGAGAGAGCAAAGCGGGGAGTGCTTGCCCCGAAGAGTTCTCGGTCTGAAGCAGTCTGAGCGCAGGATTCAGCCTAACCTGTGGCCATTTTTCTGCCGTTGTCTTGCCGATGCCCTGCGCCGTATCCGTGTTCTGCTTTTCTGGCTATGGCTATGCCAGGACAGACGTCAAAATACGGGTAGTGTCTTTCCTCTTCATCGCTTCTTGCTGCTGACCAAAGGGTGCGTGTGTTGACAAAGCGTCGTTAGCATCGAGAATTTATCACTCCTGGCCAGCCAAGAAATGATCAAAGAGGGAATCCCGCTTACAGGCTGGCATCAACAGAAAGAGTGATGCGTTTTGTTGTAGCAGCTGATGAACTATGAATTACAGTAGCATTTTCTTGGGAATGCAGCAGGTAAAAGAATAGATACATAATATCTGACAACAGGAAAAGAACATATGTCCTAGCTTTGCTTTCTGGTGTAGAATCCTAATTATTTATCTATTTATTCCTGTCCCCGAAGAGTCCCTGCAAGGAGAGTTCCAAAGGAAGCTTTACAAGGAGCTGCTGAAAAATTACAACCCTCTGGAGCGACCGGTTGCCAATGATTCCCAGCCACTCACTGTCTACTTCACTCTCAGCCTCATGCAGATCATGGATGTGGTGAGTCTGTAACCTTCTAGGAATCTGTTGCTTTAAAAGGGTGGATTTTTCCTTCCTAGAACGGAGATTTGTGATAGCAAAGGAAGACTGCAAGCACAGATAATTCAAGACACAATGCCAAATTTTGTCTGCCTTTTCAAAGAAGTAAACTTTATAAAAGTTTGCCTCCTTCTTGGAGCTCTTGTCAATATTTCCCAACCTTCTTAACAATATGAAATACATTTTTTCATTGAAAAATTTTCACTGAAAATGAATTGAGTGAAGCTCAAACTGCGTACTTAGCCTTTTGAATCCTTAACTGTACTTAGAACCAACAAGAAGTGTAGTCGGGGGGGGGTGGTGGGGATAGGCAAAACCAAAGTTCTTGATTTCTGGTGGTCACTAAAGAGCTTTCTATTTTTGGACATGGGGGTGGGGGGAGGAAGGGAGTGTCCTGGCCAAAATGCAAGTTATATTATTTCTTATCTTATTTAGACAAGATTGCTACATTCTATATGGTTAAATTTTAGCTGCTCTATTTGCAACCACAGTTTGGTATATCAACAGATACTTCTGTGCAGTGCCTGGCAGGCTTGTAAAATGCACTGTAGGATCTTTTGGGTTCAAATATGGGTAATTTAAGCCTCACTGTCACAGCGGCACAGGGATCAAACTCTACATGTAAGTGGGTTTACCATATTCATTTTTACTGAATTCAGCTAGCTATGTTAAATACTTAAAACTAGTAGTTAACCTCAAAATGCCATTATCTTTCCATCAAATGTGTAAAGTTCGAGGCACAACAAAATTTTTAAAAAGAAAGAAAAATGCAATTGTTCTTGACAAGTGGCTTACTTTCTGTTCTCTTACAAGCTGCTGATTGCTAAAATCCAGACACTGTTCATTTAGTCTTTGAAGGTCCTCACACACAGGCAACTCTGCGGGTTTAAATCCTCAGAGTTTCTGTGCACATTTTTGCAAGTTTTAGATTTATTAGACCTAAGGTGAAAACTAGGACATGTATTTCCAGTGTGATATTTACTGTTTGCTAAAGTGAGAGTAGGCAGTCGTAGTCAGTGAGCTGTTTCAGTGTCAGTGCCACTAAAGCCAACAAGCAAAATATGTCAGTTCTATCCTTGTCTACGGCAGCTGAGTTTTAATGTACCTGATACCAACGAGCAGAACAGAAGCTATATAGAGTCCTGTATTCTTTGAGTGATGGTGAGGGAAGCACATGTGTTGTGCAGAGTGCAACGATTTCAAAAGGTGCCGGCAGACTGAACTCAGTGCGGACTGTGGCTGTACTGCACGGGCGCCTGGCAGCTAGGAGAGGACGGCCAGGTCTTAGACCAAAACTTTGGTGTGAGGTGAACGCCTGTACCAGTGGGCTGATATAACAGGTGACACTAACATCCCACTAATGGTGTGTGGGCATGCTGTTGTTGTTAATGATGTTTATTATGGGTGGGCTTTGAGATTTTGAAAAAAGGGAATCTCCTCGTGCTGAACGCTCTGCAGACAGAAGTAGTAGGTGACTCCTGGCACAGAGTCAGTCTGCAAATAGACAAGTAAGCAAGAATGCCTTTGGGCAATCAGAGACAACCGAAAGAGCGTAAAAGTGAGGAATAACACAAAAGGAATAAATGATACTCTGTTAATAAGGGATATATTAATTTCATGATTCATCTTCTAATTGTATTCCTTTAGAATGTGTCAAGGTAACACAAAGAAAAAGGCATTCGAAGGGCAGTGGGAGTCATGAGGACAGGGCAGGTCGGAGGAAGGTAAGAGAAAGCTGAAATGAAGGTAACAAAGGGCAGCATGGGACAGACGGTGCTTCAAAGGTCTGAACGCCTGAAGGTCCCCATCTGGGTTACTGCTGCAGCTATTCTCACTGGCTCAAACCTTGCCATGCGCAGCAGGGAATGTAGAGAACAGGGCAGAAATAACCACTTGATTGTCTTGGCCCCATATCATCTGTGTGGGGGAGCTTTGGTCTAGCTCCTCTTTCCAGCACATCAGGCCCCTTAGTGCCTTCTGCAAGCAGCTCCTGCTTGGTGGAGCCTTCAGTTGTAGCTACCCATCCTGTATACCTTTGGTTTTAGTTAGATTTTTATCTTTGGTAGTGATAGGCCAGTATGTTCAGGAAAGCTTAGCCAGTCTGTTCAAGGCCTGTTTGAACAGAGCACCTGAACAAAACCCCACATTTTAATGTATCTCTGCAGAACTCAGCACAGTACACGGTGCTTCAACTGAATATTAAACCAGGCTTCAATAAAACCCCTTCCCAGCCATGGACTTAGTTTACAAGGCCTTCTTCTGTAGCTGCCTTTTGGGAAATGACCTTCTGCTGCAGCATGTGCCTTCTCACAGCTACTGGAGCAACTTTAGCTTTGCTATAGGACAGTACAGTCCCCTTCAAAGGACTTATGTACAACTCTCTTGTACAACTGTGTGTTCAGTGCTTGGTTTATTTTGACAACCAGGATAAAAACCATGATGCTGTGGGTCTTTTGTTGTTTGGTTGGTTTTGTTACTGTTAGCACTACACTACATACAATTAATTTCAGACTTATTTCAGAACAGGAGAGCTTGAAAAAGCACTTTGATCCAAAATAAAACAGGGCTGTGAAAAGACCAATTTTTTCCCCAGCTTTCAGAAACTGCACTTCTGATGTCATTCTGTATAGACACATTTGGCCTTAATATGTTAAGGTAATGTTCCCTTAAGTATTAACCACCCTGGGAAAGGTTTGTTGTATGGCCAAACCCTCCTAGTGATGACACAGCTTACAGAAGCCTTCCTTACGCCATCAAAAACATTTTCTGAATAGAATAAACTGGATGCCCACAGGACTTTTTTCCTACTTAAATTGCATCTATACTATAAAGGTTTCCTTTGCATATCTATGAGTTAATTGTGGGGCTCTCTCTTCCCCACACTCCTGTCATGGCTATAACCACGTACTTGACTCCTGTATGAACAGTTGGCTGTTGGAGATACAAATGGCTTATGGCCAGCAGGCAGTCAACTTCACAGAGTTCATTTCTCCTGGAGTTGTCAAGTTTGATTAAAAACTATATAAACTGAAGGGCAAGTATCCACAGATCACTAGCCGATCGGGGTATAGTTGATGACTGGCAGTCTTGGCTAATATGATTCAAAAAGGAGTTTTGATCTTATGGGCCTTTCAAAAAAATCCCTTCATAATCAGTAAGAAGCCATAGTTTTTGTACTGGCCGTTTAGTTACAGCTCATTCTGCTTGCTATAAAACTGACTGCATTTCTTTCTCAGACATCTGGGATTGACAGGCAAAGAAAGAAACCAACCATGAAGTAAATTAAGCTTCACACTATAAACCAAATGAGTTTTCTTCATTGTCAACAAGAAGCAAATGCTAGTGGGAATGACAGCAACTTGCAATAACAATTACTTGTTTAACAAGCTAGAAACAAAACATGTCACCATCATACTTTCCTGTAGTTTATATATTCACTTTAATGGCTTCTCAGCCGATACAGGCTGTACTGGGAGTTAGCCCTGTCCAGAGCAGATCCGCCAAATCCCTGCCAAAACAGATTGAGCCAGGCTGGGTCCTCGCTGCTGCTATTCCTTGCTTGAAGTCTCTTCCATTCCACTCTGACTTTGCTGATAGGAAAGGGGACACTGTATATGAAACCTTTTCCAAAGGCAGTGGATGTTTCCTACCTTACATTTTCAGTTTAACCCTTTCCTTCCAAAACTAGCAGTTATTTCTACCCTATGCTTGCAGATATGTCTTTCTTTTTATTGGTATTGCATATTAATATGCATGCTAGTATCAGAACTACGTAATGAGGGCCCTGTAAGTGCCTATTGCTCCAACTTAGGGCAGTTCACTAGAAGATAGAGCTAATAAACTGTCTAATGCGAATGCAAGCTGGCATAGTGAATTGTACAAGGTGTTGCTAAATGGGGCGGGAAGACAGCAGCAGCATGAGAAAAATGCAGTCTGGGGACACATGAATGAAGAGGAGAGCTAGGAAACTGGGAGAGTGCTTAGAGAAGTGGGAATGCATGGTAGACCTGAGAGACAGCAAAGAGTTTGGAAGAGAGGTGCAATTTAGGTGGAAGAGGATGGGGGCCAAAATGAAAAGAGGAAGGTTTGAAAGGAGTGGACTTAAAAAAAGCTTCTGTGATAAGTTAATAAGAACTTTCAAGAGAGAGATCCTAGGTATCTTTCAGTTTGCTTTATGCCTGTATTCCCTAATAGAAAAGTTACTGCTCTTAAACCTTTGCAAACAATCTTGCAATTAAACCATCCTGAAGCGACAACAAAATGGAGACAGCCAACTGGCCAGAAGTGCTCTTTAAGGACATTTGAGTTATTAAAATATCAGAAGATGGAATAAGAGGTTTCTCTTGCTTTTTATAGTTTTTTGTTTCAATTTGCTTGAAATGAAAAATGCCAAGCAATTTGACAAAAGAAATAAAGAACAACCCACTTCCTCTCTGATTTGCTGAAATCTTGTTTCAAAACTCCTTTCAGGAAAGCAATGTATATTGAACGAATAGCCTGATAATAAGCATCTGTCTGGATCTGAATCAGAGAATGTTTGGAAATATCTGATCTAAGAAAACTAAACAAAATGTAAGAATAAGCACAGAAGGAAAATCTTAAAAGACAAATACTAAGGGTGTCTGCATACCTTAGTGGCAGGAGAGGAAGAGGGGTTAATGGACGGTCATGGCTGGTCGAGGTCGTAGCTTCAGTACAATGTCAGAAAAATAACAAACATGATGTAGAGAAGTTACTTATTTTTTCTGACATGTCACCTCATGGAAGCCCCACTACCTGTACAAAAAGCTCGTCTTTGGCCTCTGCCTGTCTAGTGTTTCAGTGTTGGCATGGAGTATGAACCTAACTGATGCTCAGGAAAAACTTCCAGAAGATGCATTTTTGAGAAACAGATTCTTGAAATATGCTGATATTATATAATTTCCACACTGGATAGAATTACAGCCAACATTTTAAATGCT